TGGAGGCAGGACTGCAGCCAGGGTTGGCGCCCAGGCCCACCAAGCCCACAACAGCTGTCGTTGCCACCGGGTTGTTAGATCTTGGCTTGGAGGCAGGACTGCCGCCAGGGTTGGCGCCCAGGCCCGCCAAAGTCGTTGCCGCAGGGTTGTCAGATCTTGGCTTGGAGGCAGGACTGCCGCTTAGGGTTGGCGCCCAGGCCCACCAATCCCCCCACACCAGCTGTCGTTGCCACCGGGTTGTTAGATTTGGCGCCCAGGCCCACCAAGCCCACAACAGCTGTCGTTGCCACCGGGTTGTCAAATCTTGGCTTGGAGGCAGGACTGCCGCCAGGGTTGGCGCCCAGGCCCACCAACCCCCCCACACCAGCTGTCGTTGCCACCGGCTTGTCAAATCTTGGCTTGGAGGCAGGACTGCCGCCAGGGTTGGCGCCCAGGCCCACCAACCCCCCCACACCAGCTGTCGTTGCCACCGGGTTGTTAGATCTTGGCTTGGAGGCAGGACTGCCGCCAGGGTTGACGAGGGTTAGGCAGCGAGATGGTACACTGCTGGTAGAGCATCGTGGCCAGCATGGCTTCACCAGCGAAGCGGCCGGACGCGAGGACAGTAAGCCCCAATTTTGGCAAGACAAAAATGTTTTTGTCTGTCGCCATCGGCATACTCGTCTTCTTCACTTTCGTTTCAGGACATGTCTTAGTCGCTGAGGTGGATTAAGATGAAGTGCAAAAATGCAAGTGCAGTTCCCCATTTGCCTCCTGTTGCAACGCTTCTACCCCGAAGCGAAGACTGCCAAGTACTCTCACAGAGCTGCCCGGGAAATGCCACTTTCTGTGGAAGCGAGCAGCACATCCGCCTTATGGCGCCCAGAAGAGGATGTTTTGGGGGTCCCGAAGAACCCGAGAGACGGATGTCCCAAAGATTCATATTTACTCTCGCCCCCGTGCGGGTGCGCGCGCGCGTGTGTGTGTGTGTGTATCTGTGTGTGTGTATCTCTGTGTGTGTGGTGCAGTTGCATAAATAACCTGAGTGCATGCAGACACCTACATGATATGTGTTGGGAAACTTTATGAACATTGCAACATGTACACGAGGGAAGCCGTTGGCGAAAGGAAGAAAGAACGTCACCCTGGATAGACAGATGGCATATAGACAGACAACAGAGCGAAGCACCTGTACGTACACATGTACTTATGCACATACTTCGACGCACGCTCATGCATTCAAAGACAGGCGCGGCTTATAAGTACCCATATGCTTGCAAGGCAGCTGGGCCTAAGGGGCCTCCAGTCCACCACTCCTTAATGTACCAGGGAGCATGATAGTACAAGTAGACATGAAACCTCACAGATGAACCGCAGAGTACCCCAAGTTCAACTGCCATGGAGGCATCCGCTGCCCGTGTCAAGTCCTCTCAGCGGCGGTGCTGCCTTGCCAGGATCTGCTCTTGGCTCTTTGGCGCCTCAAAGGTTGCTCTAAGCGCGGGATGTCCTTCTGTTGCATACTTTGGAAGTGAAACGGAACAACCTCCGGAGTGCCCGACAGTGCCATGTTGGGGGGCGTGGTTGGAAAAATGTAGAGAAACAGATGGGCACAAGTGACAAGCTCCATGTTGTCGCCTCTGCATGCAGCCTTCGTTCTGTCGTAAGGCATGGTCTTCCTGATCGACCGAGGTCTGCGCAGGTAGCATAACCTCGACGAAGGCTCTGGGCATGGGCGTTGTGTTCTCGAATGTGCAGAAGGTTTCTGAGTTGCCGTTCGAAGGTTTGGGGCCAGGGGTTGGGGGGAGCCCGAGCTCAGGGAATTTCACACAGCTCCTGGAATGCAGAAGACCAAGCAGGAACACTTGCGGGCCTGTGGTTCTTATCACGTCTTCTGTCAGTCCGTAGCTTCGTCACGCTGCAAACTCGGATTGCTGGTTAGATTTCCAGAACGCGCAGAAAGGCAAATGCCAGTAGATGTAAGGATCCAGCTCCGCCATTTTCTTGCAATGTTTGGTTCCTAGTGCACTGAGATGCACTGAGCATATACAACCGCCTTTGGGTGAGCGCTCGCAATTAGTCACGAAAGTTCGTGCCCAGAATTTGGCGAAGGACGACCATCTCCCTGTCGTCGGCTGCTGACTCGGCACGGAAGACAGATCATTGCACGGCGACTACCATACATATCCTGTTGTAGTAGCCTCAGGTAAAGATGAAGGAAAGCGCAGCCCGATCTGGATTTGGCGCGCGACCTGTGCAGCAGGGACAAGACGGTACTGTCATGATCAGTGTGATGCCGATTAGCCGATGCCAGACCTCGCATATCTTCTCTTTGGATGTCCATTCAGCCGCTTGCGTCGCAGTAGAATTATTATGCAAGAGGGGGAATCACCGTGCCCACGGAGCACAGCAACGGTGGTTCATCCCAACTCAATACTACGATGTGCTACATGAGGCGAAGGCTGCGGAAGGCTGGTCTTTGGATTCCGCAACCTTGCTCGCCAGCAACTCGCCATTGGGATTTCAGGCGTTTGACAGTTCCCAGTTTCAAAGTTTCTCCCAAGGTTCAGGGACGTCCTGTGCTGCACCATCTCCTCTCCATGCCGTCTCTACTCCCTGCCGTCTAGAACCAAGCTGTGGTTGGTCCATGCATGGCCAGCGCACGTACCATAATCTGCCATCATTATCAGCAAGACCATGTGACATAGATAGACAAGTTCAGGAGTGCTTCGCCGGCACGCAAAGCCTCACTGCAGCATAAGTGAATGTAAGTGAACTCAGCACAAGAAGCACAAGATTGTTCAAGGAACCTGGCCGGTACTAAACATGGCTACGCTGCACCTCGCCTCGCAAGAGCTGTTACCCAGTCGAGGTCAAAACTTCTGTTTCAATTTCGCGGCACATCGGGTTCGGGTGCGATTGTGGCATGCGAGCTTCAGACTGAAAAGGGGAAGCCGCCGAGGGCATGTGTGCGAACGTAGGCCGAGCCCGTAGTCGAAGCGTGAGCCTCATTGCGCTATCATTGCAGGCAGGCTCTCTTCGAATCGACCGAGGTGGAATCCCGGGCTGCCCATTTTATCTGCTGCTCATGTCGGTTGCATCTGCCTGCATGAAACAGAGAGTTCCCCTGATCGGGCTTGGTAGGATCGAGCCGACATTCTCACTGATGCCGAGATTGAGGCACGGCTGTTCGGGCAGGGGCACAGGGATTTCCCGATCAAAACGGAATTGAAGCTTCGGTGCCCCAGGATTCTGAGAGACGGCTCCAACAGTCAATAATCGTTGCGCACAGCTAAAGCAATGTGATAGCTTCGTGACGACCGCAGACAGCCAACAGCAAAACAACAACAATCCGTCAACCGTGCACACCACCACCACCACCACCACCACCACTGCGACGACAATGACTACTACTGCTACTACTCCTATTCCTACTGCTACTACTACTACTACTACTACTACTAGTACTTCTACTACTGCTACTACTACTGCTACTGCTACTGCTACTACTACGACTACTACTACTATTACTACTACTACTGCTACTACTCCTATTACTACTATTACTACTATTACTACTACTACTACTACTACTACTATTACTACTACCTACATCTACTACTACTACTACTACTACTATTACTACTACCTACATCTACTACTACTACTACTACTTCTTCTTCTACTACTACTTCTACTACTATTACTACTACTACTACTACTACTAGTACTACTACCTACATCTACTACTACTACTACTACTACTACTACTCCCAGTACTACTCCCCCTACTACCACTACTACTACTACCACCACTGCTACTACTACTACTACTACTACTCATACTCTTCCTACTACCACTACTACTACTATTACTACTATTACTACTACTACTACTACTACTACTACTCCCAGTACTACTCCCCCTACTACCACTACTACTACTACTACTACTTCTGCTACTTCTGCCACTACTACCACTACTACTACTCTTACTCCTACTACTCATACTCTTCCTACTACCACTACTACTACTACTACTACTACTACTGCTACTACTACTACTTCTTCTTCTACTACTACTTCTACTACTGCTGCTGCTGCTGCTACTGCTGCTACTACTACTACTACTACTACTACGATTCTACTACTGCTTCTACTGTTGGCCGCCAGCGCGCTCCCACGCACCTCTTAACTTAAGATTTTTCTTGGTCGGCGGACCCTTTTTGTTGACGCAATCCTGCACGCATCTGTAATCATGTGGCTGATTCTGCCCGGCAGCAGAGCCTGAGGCAGAGAGCTGCGCTTGAAAGGAAGTCCTGCAGAATGTAAAAGAAGGAGATGCTTTTCCCGCAAAAGTTTATGTGGGTTCTTTAGGTAAGTTGAGTGCAATCACTGCCCGTATTTGTTTGGGTAAAAGCGTCAGAAATCGTCGATGCAGTACCAGGGATCAAGGCTTGTGTGGAACATCCACGGCAACAGGCACATGTGCTCCATTGCCATTACACTCATTAGACGTGTCTTCTGAGCAGTGCGCACAAAATGTGGAATGCTATCTTGAACATGCTTCCAACTACTGTCGGCCAACTGCGTTCCTGCCAAGCGATCCTTGCCTGTGACAGAAACCTTCTTCGTGAATTGGAGCTGCGTGTGGCTGACATATCAGCGGTCGCACCTTTGCCATGAGTAGCAGCCGTAGTCAGTTTAGTCTTGTAGCAACGTTGTCATCCCCGTCCCCCCACCCATCCGACTCCTGTCAAAGTTGAGTTACCAAACATGTTGCTGAATTAGGGGGTGCGTGGGAGCACGCTGGTGCCTATTATTACTACTATTACTATTAGTTACTACTACACTACTTCCACCACGCCTAATGCTACTGCTATCACTTCTCATCTTCCTGCCTCTAGAGTCGTTAAGCAGAAGCAGTGGAACCACATCAGTTGTAACTGTTGTCGTTGAACAAGGTGGGCTAGCAACTAGTCCAGGAGCGGGAGGGCAGCCAACCCCATCCAGGTGCTGTCGGGATGCGCTTTGTAGACAGCTTGCACGTGTCGCCGGTCTGGGGAAGAGATGCAGTGGCTTCTTCCGAGGGAGTCAGTCTTGAATCCGGCGGACGGTCGGATTCTGGAGTTCCCATGTGTGGTGCGGAAGGTAGCTTCGATTGGCAAGTCCTGAGTGCGGCAGATGTAATTAGCATGGACGCAATCTCCAAGGGCCTCAGCTTGCTCGAGGCAGAACGCGCAGGGTGCGCTGGAGGAAAATTGCCAGCGTTTCCGTTTGAGGCGTCCGATTTCGAGCACGGCATGAACCACTCCCATTTCGTCCATGTTCAGCACAAGTTTGCTTCAACTTGCAAAGGACAGACGTTCAAACTTCACTACTTTCTGGGAGGTGGAGACTACAGGTTTGCTGTGGAGGTTCACCACAGCCTTGCGGCGAAGACATGGCAAATCTTGCGATCGAGACCTCCGGCATGCGACATCGAGGAATTCAGTGAATCAAGTGTCGTCTTTGTCAGCTGTTCTTTCTAAGAATTCCGAAAGGCTTCGCAGCATACCAAGCAATCTTTAAACAACCACTGGTGTTCTCCAATACATACTTAGACTTACCCACTGGGAAGTTCTTATACATCCCCTGCGATCTCCGAGCCTTCACACTCGTGCCAAGACCTCGGTGACAGGAGGGAATTCCAGCGGGGCCGGAGATATTGCCACCGAGTGGCAAGCTGGCACAAAGAAGTGGCCACTTTGTGCTTTCGGAGCTGCCCGTCTGCAAGAGAAACGCAAAGTTTTCCTTGTTTGCGAGCTTGAAGATGCGAGCTATGGCACGGGCAGAGTCGTCAAAGTGTCAATGTATGTATGATTTAATGGTGACTCTGTTCTGGCCAAGCTAGTAATAGATAGGCAGCGGTCTGGGCATACGAAAAGCCAGTGCGCCAGACACTGGCAAGGTTGAAAACCTGCTATTACTGGCAAGAGAATTGAGCCAGAGGTGCAGGAGTCGGAGTCGGAGTCGTCGTAGTAGT